GTTTGGATGTGAATGCAACAGCAGGATAATGACAGTTGCCAAGGATTTGTACTTGCTGTCGCTTCATACCAGTGTTGCCTGTCAAAGTGTCTCTTATTCTTATACAGAAGCCATAGAATTTTTATGGATAGCAATTACTTACAATATACAATGAAGTACATCAAATCTAACAACCACTCTTTAGCCCGTCATTATTTGGTAGTCTCTTTGTTAAATGTAGTCAACCATTTTCATCTAAATTATTTATTTATACTGTATATTTGACAAGCATATATTTCTTGCTTTATACTCTTACAGAATTTAAACCTTCCTAAAGAGTTAGTTTTTTAATACTGTCATTTTTAAAACTTATCTTTATCCTATTACCATTCTAATGATAATTAAACGCTCTAATTGGAAAAAATACAAATAAGAAAATGTAAACATAAAGAAAAATGACCCTAAGTACATTTAAGGAAAAAAAAAATCACCTTAAAATACTGGAATACAACCAATAAGAGGAATAACCCCACATATGTGTGATGAATGGAAACTTGTATACAATCTCTGGGACCATAAAGCACAGAGATTTCATTAAACTTTCCCAAACCTGATGAAATGAATAACCTCTAAAGATATAAATAACATTCTACAACTGTTAGATGAAATGTATTTTAAACATCATAAAAAGTTAATAAAAGTGAATAATTCACACATATTTTCTTTTTTTTAAAAAAATATATTTTATTGATTTTTTTACAGAGAGAAAGGGAGAGAGATAGAGAGTTAGAAACATCGATCAGCTGCCTCCTGCACACCTCTTACTGGGGAAGTGCCTGCAACCAGGGTACATGCCCTTGACTGGAATCGAACCTGGCACCTTTCAGTCCACAGGCTGACGCTCTATCCACTGAGCCAAACTGGTTAGGCATATTTTATTTTCAACACCAGAAGAAACCATAATTCTAGTTTGGCCTAGAAATGTTGGCAAGGATATCCCAACTGATATGTCAGGACATAAATCAGCCCACCCACAGGAAAAAAAATACACCTGTGTGTGCAAAAGTGCAATGGAATAAAAATAAGGTATATCGGAAATCTAAAATTGGGGGAGGTTATAAAAATTATATGTCACTTTTCCAGAGGAAATTAAAATTTTAAAACAATTAGTCTTTTGACATTTTTAAAGGAAATAATGTACGAATGTTTAGATCTGTAAAATCTAAAAAAGCATAATTTGTTGGGGTAAAGGGGTTTAAAAACAGTGGGGGTGGTGCCTTGCTTCATTCACTATTGCTGTCTCCCTTTATTTCTTTCTGCTGTCCATTCCATGGAAAGACCTGACAGCTCATCATTGGAATACTGAAATTAGGTGATATAACCAAGTGTTTATATTTCAAAAAAGACCCATTTCAATTAAAAATATCTAAGATAACTATTATGACATACGAAGTGAGTGAATGAATTAGGCACAGTTAGTCTCCTTGAAAGCAAGATTAAAAGGATGTAATGACCCTAGCCAGCATTGCTCAGTGGTTTAGTGTCAACTTATGAAGCAGGAGGTCACAGTTAGACCCTGACCAGGTTGTGGGCTGGATCCCCAGTGTAGGACATGCAGGAGGCAGCTGACCAATTATTTTCTCTCATCATTGATGTTTCTATCTCTCTCTCTCTCTCCCTCTCCCTTCCTGTCTGAAATCAATAAAAATATATTTTAAAAAAGTAGGATGTAATGGATAAAAATCTAGGAAATTGCATGATCATCAGCTAAAAATCATTAAAACAAAATATTTTATATGTGAGATAGAGATCTTTTTAACAACATTCTCTTTATTTTTATTTATTTTTCATATATTTTTATTGATTTCAGAGAGGAAGGGAGAGTGATAGAGAGATAGAAACATCAATGATGACAGAGAATCATTGATCGGTTACCTCCTGCATGCCCTCTGCTAGGGATTGAGCTGACAACTTGGGTATGTGCCCTGACTGGAATCAAACTGTGACCTCCTGGCTCATAGGTCAATAATCAATTACTGAACCACACCAATCAGGCCATTCTCTTAATTTTAAAATGTTATTTTATTTGAAAATCTTCCACGCATCATTTGGAGACATTTTCTATAAATACTAGTGGCCCGGTGCACAAAATTCATGAACCTTAAAAGGGGATTAAGTAGAGGAAATATTTTAATATTGCTATTTGCCCTTTCTCTATAATAGAAGTATCAGAGATGAAAGAAAATTAGTAAAATGTATATGAAAATCTTCCTCCTGTCAGAGTCTGGGGCGCACCACAGAACCCAGAGTCAAGTCCCTGCCCAACCACGTGTGCCTCAAAATTGCACGAAACCCAGACCCGGCCAGCCCCCCGCATTGGGCTAGATCCAGATGTGGCCAGTCCCACCCTTGTCAAGCCCTGCCAGGCAGGGGGTGCAGCCTCAGGTTCCCTGGCCTGGCACTGGGGTGGGGGGTGCAGCTTGAGTTCCCCCAGCCTGGGCCAGGGCGGGGGCCACACCTTGAGGTCCCCCGTCAAGCCCTACCAGGTGGGGGATGCGACCAGAGATCCCCTGTCAAGCCCCCTGGGTGGAGGGTGTGGCCTGAGGTCCCCCAGCCCCGTGCCGGGGAAGGGAGCGCAGCCTCAGGTCCCTCATCAAGCCCCACTGGAAGGGAGGTACAGCTTCAGGTCCCCCGTCAAGCTCTGCTGGGTGGGGGGCATGGCCTGAGGTCCCCTGTCAGGCCCCACGGGGGCAGTGGGGTGCAGCTTCTCAGGTCCCTGCTGATTGCTTGTTAAGGCTCATTACGAGAACTTGGCCTCCACTGTGGGTGCAGCCATCTTGTGTTACAGAAACCCTGCCTCTGCTGTGGGTGCAGCCATCTTGTATTATGGAAACCCCCTGGCCTTTGCTGTGGGTGCCATCATCTTTGTGGTGGAGTGATGGTCAATTTGCATATTCCCTCTTTATTATATAGTATGGCACAATTGTCCTTAGATACCTGTGACCCATAATGACCAATAATGTATTCCATTTGTGTCACCTGGGATACATTAGACTACAGCTGGGTTTTCTATTGTGCTGCTTTCCTAGAAGTTGCCACAGGAATGAGGTAAGACTTGTCTAGTCATCTGCCCTCTGAGTGGTAAGTCAGGAAATGGCAAGATCGGACCTTTGGCACAGTATGTCAAACTCATTTATTGTGTTGATGATTAGTTTTCTTGGGGCAAGGATCCTGGCACAGTAGTTTTCACTCTGTTACAAATAAATGTAGCAGAGAGTGATAGAGGAAAAAGAACAAAGGAATATAAGAAAGAGAAAAGAAGAGTGGATGATGTAAATATAATAAAGAGTAAAGTAATAGCATCAGATAATATTAAAATAAAGTGACTGATTACTGTATGGTTGTAATGAATGAACTTAATATATGTGGGCATATTTTATAAATTGTACAATGTGTTAATTAGTGAAGAAAAGCACAATCTCTGTGATATAAGTAAAGGGATAATAAATTGACTATATTTAATAATTATTTCTCATGAAAAGATCACAGAGATAGTGAAAGTAAGGTGTCAAAGAAAACAAAATGAGACAAGAGCCTGGCTGGTGTGGCTCAGTGGTTGAACGTTGACCTATGAACCAGGTGGTCACGGTTGATTCCTGGTCAGGGTACATGCCCAGGTTGCAGGCTTAATTCCCAGTGTGGGGCATTCAGGAGGCAGCCAATCAATGATTCTCTCTCATTATTGATGTTTCTACCTCTCTCCTCTCACTTCCTCTCTGAAATCAATAAAAAACATATATTTTTAAAAAAGATGAGGCAAGAAAAGTTTTGACCTCAATTAGGGGGAAAATGTCTTTACTCATAGAGAAAATTGCCTCTCTCTGATAATCATATTAGTACAAACAGATCTTAGACTATCATTAGCCTTTATGAACTTGATCCTTTTCAGGTTGAAATTCATTATTTTCTTTTTTATGAAAAAAGACCTCTGGGCATAGTCCTTGACTTTCCATTCGACTGTTGAGAAGAGAGGTATTTATTTCACTTTCTAGGTAACAGGCAATAGTGACAGAAAAGAAGTTTGGATTCAGACAAAGAAGTAGAAGCACTGTGTAAATTATCTCATATACTGCAAATATTCCTCACTGGTCAGAGAAATAAGGCAAAACAAAATTAGTTGAAAGTATAGATTTCATTTTCATCTAAACTTAGTGACAAAACACAAAAACAGTCAAACCATTCTAAGATACATATATGATCTAGCATTTCTATAAGATTAACATAATCTTAATTTATGAACATTTTCTTTAATGCTCTTATAGCTCATGTTTTCCATTTAACATAAAGACTATTTCATCACAGTTAGCCAACCCATAGTTTATCAATACCTGACAGACACTTTTTTGCTCTTTAACTTTCTAATAGAGAAAAACAAAGGAAAAATACTTTTGTCTCCTCTGCTTTATATTTCCGGGAAGTGTGGTAGGATATATAGTAATAGTTAAGAGCTCTGGCTGTGGACTTAGATCGATATGGATTCAAGTAGAGAAGTACCTTCTCTACTTACCAGCTGTGTAATCTTGGCTAAGTTAACTAACTTGTCTAGGTCTTTGTTTCCTCACGGGTAAAATGGAGATGTTTAAAATATTATCTGTCTTACATTCCTCCCAGGGTTGTTTTGAAAACTAAATAGGTAGAATTCAACTTAACTAGCACATAGTAAATCTTATCTTCTCCGCCATTATTGTTATTAACATTATGCTACCTGTCCTAGTCAGACTCCTATGATAATATGTGTTGTTAATTGCATCAACTATCTTTTACTTCCCCCAAAACAGAAAAAAACTTGAAGGACTTTAACCCAAGCAACAATCTTCATAGCCTATCACATCGCTAACTTATTGCTGACATCATAATCTATATACTCTTTGTAAATCTTGAGCATTTACAAAGACAATACTCTAGAAGTACTTTTTATCCCCTTCAGAATTCAGTTTAAGCTGCTGAAATAATATTCTTACCTTGGTAAATAATTTGAACTATATTTGTCAATGGAGTGAAAGCTATCCCCATTGAAAGTGCCTTCAGAGTTGCTTTGCTGTGATTCCGTCATGGCTGTAGTCAAGGATGATGAAGAGGACTGAGAAAGTGCTGTTCTGTGATCTTCTGTTCCTATTTTTTCCATTTCCAGCTAAGAATAAGGAAGAACGTTATTCAATTTAAAATGTAAAATCCTCCAGGGTTATAAATTGAGGCTGGGCATTAATCACAATTTACTTCTCATTATGTTCTAGACTATGCAACAGTTGCTAAATGTGAAATCTGGTTAGGAATGAACAGAGATGAGAACCCAAGAAAGACAAAATTATAGATCTAAGTCATTTGGTATAATCCTACTTAAGGAAAAAATGATAATTGGTTGCAAAGTATTTTAATTTTTGTTTGTTAGAAAATCGCTTATTATACAAACAAACTTAACACGAGGAATATGTTACTGAAAAGTGCGGTACAACACATTTTTTTGTCTGTCTTCATCCTTTCCTCTTTGAAAGCTACCTTCCTCCTGATTCTCATGGAACTGAATATTATGTAGCTTTGCTTCCCAAGCAGAGGAGTGTGCCCAAGGCTGGCCCACGTGCCTTCTCCAGACACAGCAATTGCTACCTCAGAGTCTCAGTGAAGAAAACAAAGTAGTGCTCTGTTCTCTTGGAATGCTAGCTTTAAGAACAATGTATGAAGCCAAAGCAGATGAAAGCAAAAGTGAGAGATGGAGAGAGAATAAGAAGTGAGAGAGATTCCTGATGACATTTAAATCCCTAAAACAACCACATCTCTTAAGTTTACTGTGTACATAAGCCAAAAAATTTTTTTCTTAAGCTAGAGATTGGGATTCTCTTTTTTGCAACCTAGAAATCTTAAGTAACACACACCACGGACAACCTAAAATTTCTTAAGACCAAAACAATATACCCATAAGAAATGATACCAAAGAAAGTTATAGGTTCCTTTTCAAGGTATAATCAGCCACTCACAATGCTGATAAACATGGCTACAAAATCTCATCTCGGGAGTCCCAAAGTTACATGACATACCAATACTAAGGGAAGGAAATAACTTGTAAAGTAATAAAATATATACTTCTACCTTTTAACTGTTATTCTGAGATAAAAGCATCCATTCATCCACAGATCATTTATTGAGCACCTACAATGTAGTTGGCTTGTTCAGGCACTTAGAATTTTTTAGTGAACAAAGCCCAAAAAAAAGTCCACTTTTGGAACTTACTTTCTAGGGTAAGCAGATGGTAAATAATAGATACAAGAAATAAGTAAGTTGTCAAGATATTAGGTGATAAATGCTATGGAAAAAAATTGATCAAGGAAGGTAGACTGGGAGTATGGGGGTGGAGGGAATTGCAATTTTAAATAGGTTTGTCAGCATAGGCCCAATTGAGGTGGTAATATCTACACAAAGACATAAAAGAGGTAAGGAGTTAGCCTTACAATATCCAGGAGAGAGAAGGCTCTAAGGTAAATATATCCTGCAGGTGTGAGGAGTAGGGAGAACAGATGAATAAGAGAGAATGTAGTTGGGATGAGGGTAGAAAGGCCACGGAGGGGGTAGAGATAACATGAGTCCTTGCCAGACACTGTTAGAATTTTGAGTGAATTAGAAAGCCCATGGTGTGTTCGGAGTAGGAGAGTAATATAAAATGTTTTTAAAAAGATAATTTTGGCTGCTTTGTTAAGAACACATCAAATATATCAAAATAACTGCATTTCAATGTCCTGATGTGTCCATAAATTAACATCTTCTAATATTTGTATAAATTTTTGGGGGTAGAGACTGCTAACTGGCTGCAAATATCCATTCCTTCCTTCTTCTATGATATTGGAATCCCTGATTTTTAACTGAGGCATATCTGGCTGCCCAAAATAAAGACTATTTTCTGGTCTTCCTTGCAGCCAGATAGGGGCATATGAACAAGTCTGGCCAATGAAATATTAGTGGACATGATCCATGCAAAGAGTTTGCTTTTCTTTTCCCTCATTTCTGCTACCTAGAATGAACATATGAAGGTGGGCACTAGATGGTCATCTTTAATTTTGATATGATGCTGGGAATGAAAGCCATGCCCCAAGGAGGACAGAAGGAGTCTGAATCTCTAACAACACAGAGCACTATATGAACCCTGCACTACCTGCCTTCAGACTTTTACATGAGAAATCAACTTGTGACTTATTCAAAACAACGTTAATTTGGATCTTTGTTGTGTGCAGTCAAACCTAATCTGGAAACTCCTGATATCCCTTGAACTATGTTGCTTTTAAGAATCTAAAATATATGGTATTGGCTTGGAGCAAGGAAATTGGATGAACACTAGGATGCCTAGGAATTGAAAATTAATGAGAGTTCAGTAATTTGGGGCTTTGGGGCTTACCAAGATTACACAATCAAATGAGCTAATACCTTAAAGTAAATCAGTCTCTCTTTCCCCACCCCCCTCTCTCGTCATATTCTGTTTCTGTGTAGAACCCTAATATTCCCCTTTCAAAGATCAAGTCAGCCTATAAAGGGGAGCTAAGAACTGGAGCCATAAAGACTTTCCTTAAGCACAGACCCATAGAGCCAGTCAGATGATGAATGCAAAGGGATCATCAGTGATGATGTGGGTCGGCAAGAACCTATAGCAACACTAACAACACCAGCAGCATCAACAGACACACCGACCACTGCCAGGGCTCTTACTCATTTGGAAACAGGCAACTGGAGGATTTCCCTTTTGAACTGTGATTAACTCCTATAGTTCTTAGATAATTTAGAAGACACTGGGAGCTCAAAAACTATGATGCTAGACTTGCTGCTAAAGAACTATATTTATACTCACACGGATAATGGAGGCATGTAAGAAGAAAAATGTCTTTCTCTGCCACTTACTAGTTATTTAACCTTGGGTATTATAACCTTTCTGAGCCTCAGTTCTTTCATTTGTAAAACTGGGTTATCCTCATGGTTATGAGGATTAAATAAACTGGTGAACGTGAAAGCATTTGGTACAGTGTTTGGCACATGGAAGATACTGAAAAACTGTTAGATGAATCTGAATCTATATCAAAATAAGACAACTTTCATAGATAAGTTCTCTCTACATAGTTTAATAAGAGAAGTACTTTTCTCTACCCAGCACTGCTCTGGTATTCCAACTGGAGACCATAGGGCTGTTGGCCTCACACTCTCCCTTTCAAGCTTCTCACAATAGGAGGTCTGAGGTTCTCTTCTCAGGCTTCCATAACAACCATTGCCTGTTCAATTCTTTCATGGGTCATGTCCTTCTTAATTGGGGAATGCTTATAAGTGAAAAATCTAGCTGTGTATAGCAAGGCAAAATTATATGATTAGAGAGTAAATCACCTTAAAGAGCGAAATCCCCTGAATGTCCTGGTGTGTTTATTATAGAATCCAATTATTTAAAATCCAAAAATAAAATTTTCTCAGAACTATTCAAAGATATCTCTTGATATAGAGCAATAGTTTTAATTTTTACTTATGCATGACAACAACTCTAATCGTCACTAAAGGAGGTAATCATTTTAGTGATGGGTATAGTTTTTTGGTTTTTGTTTTCTTTTTTCATGTAAAACGGTTTTAGGATGCATTTAGGTGGAACGATCTACGTAAGTGTGAAATCATTACCATAATTAAATGCAGTATTTCTTCTATAATATTACCATAAAAACATTGTCATCTTCACTAAAAGTAGAACATGTTAACAGGTTAAGCAGAATATGCAGAATACAATAGGTTTCCAGATAATATTCCTGCACATTACTAATTAAATGAGAACTACTGTTAAATAGAAATTAAAGAAATAAAAAGTGTTAATTTTAACTTGACTGACACTAAATACTATGATACTCTAGCCGAGTACAGAAAAAGGCACTGCCTGGTGCTTTATTAATTCATGCATAGTCTATTCACGACCACAGTGGAAAAACACTGTTTTTCTTTACTCCCCTTCTCTTAATAATTTACATGAAGATAAGCTCTCCTCTCATGGCCATGACTAGATCTGCTCTTTCACCCTTTTTTAAAAAAGGCTGTCAAGTACACAGTGGTTAGGAGCCTGGACTCTGGAGCTACCATGTTCCTGTCCACTTACTAGCTGTGACACTTGGACAAGTCACATAGTCTCTTTGTGCATTAGTTTCTTCATCTGTATAAAGGGGTTAACAAAAATAGCTCCTTCATACAGTTAATGTGCTAAGCACACAGTGGGTACCAGGTGTCAGCTATTAAAGAAGACAGGCTTGATAGACTTCAAGTTGGGGCGCTAACAACCAGGATCTGGAGACTTTCCAAGGGGCATGCACATGTGGACAGTTTAAAGCAAGTCAAATTCCAGATCCTTGCATATATATATATCTCTGTTCCTAAAATGCACCTGTCCAAGAAGCTGCCTGTACTGACTAGAGTTTGCCCTTGTAAAGTATCTATTTTGTCAGTTTATAACAGAGAGAAAATTTTAAGTGCCCCCTTCAAGCTATACCATTAATATATACATTTACAATAAAATTTACTTGGTACTTGGTAAGTGGATAATGAATATCAAAAAAGATAATATATTCATGCTGCTTTGAATAACTGTGTACTAAAACAATTATAATAAAAATTCAATCCTGAGGAAATTTTCAATACTTACAATCTTATGGTCACAGGGCATTTAAAAATGTATAGTTACTGTATGATAGAATGGCCTATGTAAGACTTTCGAGCATAAAATATACAATTCAATGGAAGAAATGTAGAAATATAAGTTTAAAAATAAAAGAATGTAAAATTTCCAACTATTGAAGAACTTGTTAATGTTTTATTTTTCCTATTAAAATTTCAATGATAAAGATTTTTGCAAAACATATACCTGAGAAAGGAAGATGGTGGCATAGATAAATGCCGCCACAACCACATCAAAATTACAACTAAAATACAGAACAACCATCATCCAGAACCACTGGAAAGCTGGCTGAATGGAAGTCCTACAACTAGAGAAGAAGAAAGCACATTGAGACTGGTAGGAGGGGCAGAGGCATGGAACGGGCTGGGCTGGCACCCAGGTGTGCCGTTTTTTTAAATCTGGAGATTGTCTCGGCAGAGGCTGCCTACGAGGAGCAAAGGGGCCCAGCCGTC